ACTCCCAGAGACTCAAGCCTGGAAATGATAATAATTATAATAATAATTGCTACCATTTAGTGCTGGCCAGTGACCTGGGTGCCAGACTGGGGCCTTTACAAGTGCTCATTTGCACACAAACTGTGAATGGGGAGGCATGTTCTCCACTTTACAAGTGAGGCTCAAATAAGGTGACTTGCCTGAGTCCACACAGCTAATACATGGCTGAGGCAGAATTTGAACCCAGAGCATTCTTGCCACTTATCCCCGTTCTCTAAGCATCAGTAGTGAAGGGCTTGCAGCAAACCCTGGGAGGCTTGTCACTTGCCTCCCCAGCATCCACAGCCATTTTCTCTCGGAACAGCTCTGGGTTCACTTGTGTGTGTGTGAGGAGAGAGGACCACATTCTCTCTACCCCCAGACCATATCTGGGCATCTGGGCAGGTTCCCACCCCCACAGCCCCGGCGTGGAGGACCAGCCCAGGACTAAGCTCACGGGCGTGTGACCTGCCCCTGGGGCATGGTGATTGCTTCAGGAGTGGGCTTCTGACCCAAGTGAGGGGCCTGTGACTGGGAAGGTAAATAGCACTGAATCAGACAGTGTGGGAGGCCTGGCCTGGAGGCAGCCACTTGAGAGGCCCGCCTGCAATATGAAGGTGATGGACACTGGAGAGCAGTTTCAAGGAGAGACAGGGAGGAGACAGAACAGGGAGTTCTGGGTGTATGCCGGCTTCCTCTCTCTTGAGCCTGCCTGAGTTGGAGTTACCTGGGCCCAAAGCCACATAGGCGGGAAGTGAAGCAGGTCTGGTGCTTGAGCCTACACATGGCGGCCACGCCACAGCCCACTGGGGGTGGATTCCCCTCTACCCTGCATCCCTCTCGCCACCGGCCCTGCCCTTTCACATTTCCTCAACTCCATCTGGAACCCCCAGGGCAGGCTTATCCATTTATGGCCATCATTAGTTAGTTAGGTCGCTCAGTCGTGTCTGACTCTTTGCGACCCCGTGGACTGTAGCCCACCAGGCTCCTCCATCCATGGGATTCTCCAGGCAAGAATACTGGCATGGGTTGCCATTCCCTTCTCCGGGGATTGAACTTCCTGACCCAGGGACTGAACCCAGGTCTCTTGCATTACAGGCAGATTCTTTACCATCTGAGTACTTAAGTATTTTCCCTATAAAATGCTGGAGGGGCCATCCTAAGCTGCTGGGGGTAGAAGGAGAGGGGCTAGAAGGTACTCACTGCAGAGTTTCCAGCACATCAGTGTTTGCTATTCTTTCATGGATGCTGGAGAGCGGAGGGCGAGTGAACGCAGAAGAGATTCCTGCCCTTGAGAAGCTAACAGTCTAGGGCCTCCAGGAAACCACTGTGCCTCCTTCTGTGAACAGTTCAGAAACTACCAAAAAATACTACTTTTGTCAGCCAACCCAAGTCTAGCTTCCTGCATTAGGGCTTTACAATGGGACCCTTCAGCATTAGCCAGTTATGGACTGATTAGATGCCTGTCAGGCATGTGCCTGGGTGTTCAACATGAGGGAGAATTATAAGGGACATTACCTTTCAATAAACTGTTTCGTAATTGGGTATATCATACAGGGTCTCAGGAGGAAACAGATTGTGCATTCAAAAGGGTATTAAAGGGATTTCCTGGTGGTCTAGTGGTTAAGACTCCACACTGCCAGTGCACAGGTCATGGGTTCAATCCCTGGTCAGGGAGCTAAGTTCCTGTATGTGGGCGGTGCAGCAAGTTAAGAATTATTAAATGGTATTAGAACAGAGTTTAAGTATGTGGGAGCCCACAAAGGAAGTTGCTACCACTCCCAGGCCAAGGAGGCAGGGGAAGAAAGGCAGGTCGGCGGAACCCGGGGAAAACCTAGCTGTGGCTTTTCCCCAGGATGAGTCCAGCCAGAGAGCAATGTACCTCCTGCTTCTGTGTCTGTATGTAGCTCAGTCTTCCCCCCTGGGCTCCAGCCCACTCAAAGCTTGATAGCTGTCTCCATCTGCACCTCCCACAGGCAACACAGATTCAAACTGTGAAACCAGAACTCAGAATCTGCTCCATAAACAGATGCAGCGTGCATCAGGCAAAGCAGAGGGCCCCAAAATGTGAGGAAAAAATAGAAAGCATTTCAATAGATTGTTATTTCCAAAAAAGCACCTAAGTGTGCAAGATGTTTACACTCATGCCAGAATGACTATTTGGGGAAAAAACTGTATTCTGTGCATAGTGTGACCCTTACCTCACACCATACATAAAATACAACTCTTGTGAAGGCTAAAAAAAGTTTAACTTCTGGGGAAAAAAAAAAAGGAGGAAATCTTTACAAACATGGGGTGCATAATGATTTTTTAGATGGGATAAAAGTTATGAGCCATAAACAAAAAAATTATAAATTGACTTTATAAAAATTTAAATCTTCTTCAAAAGACACAGTTAAGAAAATTCAAAGGCAAGCTACAGATAGGGAGCAGGCATTTTCTAAATAATTATCTGGCAAAGGGTTTGTATCCAGAATATAAAAGAACTCATATAAGCAGATAATGAGACAAATAATTCAATTTCTTTTAATGAGCAAAAGGTTTTGCTTCTCAAAAGAGGGTATATGAGTCTCCAATAAGCACATATAAAGATGTTGGTCATCATGGAAATACAAATTTAAACCCAATGAGGTATCACTTCATATCTATTGAAATGGCTAAAATAAAAACAAAACAAAGTGTTACCCTACCAGCTGTTATTAAGGATGTGGAACAATGGAAACACTCATGCACCACTGATGGAAAGATAGAATGGTATAACCACTTCAGAAAAGAGTTTGGCAGCTTCTTTAAAACATTAAATATACCATATTTAACTATATACCATACCATATAACTTTTAAAATGTTAAAACTTACCATATGATCAAGCCATTCCAAGACAACACAAATGTATGTTCTAAAAAGGCTTGTACACATATGTTTATGAGTCTTTTCATAATAGCCCCAAACTGAAAACAACCCAAATATCCATCAACACATGAGTGGATAAACAAATTGTGGTATATTCATACAACAGAGATACTATCGGAAATAAACACTACAGATAGGCAACATGATGAATCTGAGAGGTTTGATGCTGAATCAAAAAACCAGACACAAAAGAATATTTTCTGAACAATTCCACTTACGTGACTTTTAAAACAGGCCAACTCATTTGTAATAACAGATATCAGATCAGTGGTTGCCTGGGGCAGGGGGTGTAAGGAGCTGAGTGAGTGGGGCACCAGGGAACATTCTGTAATGATGGGAGGATTTTGACTGGAGTTACACAAAATATGTACACATCTGACAGACATCATTGAATTGTGCACTTAAAATATGTGCGTTTATTGTATGTGAGTTTACAGCTCCATAAATCTGACTTCTGGGCAAAACGTCTAAGCAGTTATAGGAAAAATCAGAAGGCCGTTGGACTTTCTCAAAGGAGAGATGTCTTTGAGAAAGCTCTGTCATCTTTTCAGTGCTCAGGATCTTTTGGTCTCAATCAGGACCTGCTAGAAGTCATGACTTCCTTCACAGCCCACAAGACTTCTTCCCCTTGGACAGACTCTGGGGGTGTATCCCTGACAACTTCCTCTGACTCTGATCACCCATTCTGACATGTGTGTGTCTTTTTTCACATCACAAAGCAATTTTCCACACTAGCTAGGTGTCCTAGTTCCTCTTTCTCCCTGATTGGAATGCAAATGTGATGACTGGAGCAACAGCCAGCCATCTAACGACCACGAAGAGATGTTGAGGATGAAAGCAGGTTCTAAGAAGAGCAGAGCTAAAAGATAAAGAAGAGCCTAGGATGCTGACAATATTGTGAATACCAGTTAACTGTGAACTGCCCACTTCTGAATTCTTTCACAATAGAGAAAAATACCTATCTTGCTTAAACCGGTTATTCTGTGTCTCACTCACAGAGAAAGCTGAAAGCAGTCCCTACCTGCTGTAGCATCCTACGTGACCTCTGGATAAAGTTTTGGATCCTTAACGTGGCTCGCAAGGCTCTTCACGCTCTAAACCTCTAAAGTTCCATGCATGAATGTCAGTGGGCTCATCAGATTACATGCAAAATTGTGGGGGGAACTGTGTGCACACACATGTGTAATTTTCCCTAGAAGGAAGATCGACAGTTTTCATCAGATTCTCAAAGGGACCAGAGACACCTGCCCCACGCACCCTCAAATGTTTTCAACCTTATTTTAAACAACTCCACTTAGTATATGTAATCATCTTCTTTTAACACTAGGAAGCAGATTCTGAACATTCAAGCACCTTGTAAAGTGCTATACCCTGGGCAAATAAAGGCAGAAATAGTAATGAATGAGTCTGGAGAAAACGATGCCAGGAAAGAAGCAGAATGTTTCTCATGGGTGGAAGCCAGAGCAGAGTGTCTGCACTTGCACTCTGGGCCCGGGATGCGCAGGGCCTTTCCTGAGCCCTGCTAAGTCTCTCTGCCAGTATGGTTTTCATTACCGAGGGCAATCCTTTTAATGAGTTGTCTGCCTTCGGTTATGCTTGACTATAATGTTCTCCAGCTGATTTCTCAGTAATTGAGAGGCTCTGGCTTTTGAAGTCATCGCGTCAACCTGGTTTGTTGCTTTGTTCAATTTGGGGTTGCCCCTGATAGCCCCCCTATCTCCAGGGTGCCTCAGAGCATGTGTTTGGAACCTCGTTCGGTGGCCACAGGCAGGCTTAACAAGCCCAGCTGATTTCGATAACCCGTCTTTGCTCAGATCCAGGGGAGAGTCAACACAACTTCTGAGCAACTGGTTTGCTAAATTATTTATTGAACCTCATGGACTCCCTTTGAAAGAATCTTCTCAGACTCTTGGGACAACATCATGAAGGATTTTGTATTGTGGACATTTTTCTTCCTATGTTTAGCTGCCCAGAATCTGAATCTCTTTCCTGTGTTTGGGGAAGTCCTTCTATGTGAATCTTAGTGAAATGCAGAGTTCACCTCCTTCACTTTCCCCGCCTCTGTTGCAGGGAACACGACCAGGGCACTACCAGCTGGTCTTCCACACTGTCAGATGGGACCTGGTGATGCCACGAAGATGGTCAGTGGAGAAACCACTGCAGGTGAAGCAGCCAGAGCAGCAGAAGCATCTCACTTCCGAGACCAGCCCCTGGTGGCCAGTGAGGGACAGTCAAGCCATCTGATACCAGGGCTCGGGGACTAGGGTTCTGTGGCTGCAGGGTGGCCCAGGTTCTGGTTGCCCTTCACGTTGTAGATGGGGCATGCTCCTCCCTCTAAGGAATGTGCAAAACAACATATACAATATATTGATACACAGAACATCAGAACCAAGGAAAAGAAAAATGTCCTGATGATAAGATGGTATAGGACAGTCTGAGATTGAGGCTTAAATACAGTTCTGAGCTTCCTGGTAGCCAAATCACAAAAGAATACAAGATTAGTTATTCACATATTTTCAGGAAGGGAGGAGGGCATACCCTTCCATTGTGTTTCATTAACATTGAATTCTAAAAGAAATTTACTTACAAAGCACCATTGAGTAATATATAAGATAAGTCTGCAGTGGTTTTTTGGTAATAAATAAATAAGGGAATTTCATATGGCTATGTATGAAATTAAAGCTCAATCCGAAGAATAAAATTCTAAGACAGGAATTCTGATGGGTATTGCTGATAGAAATGGACTTTTATATACTGCTAAGAAGGTCACACTGAACTGTGTCTTTTGGATCTCAGGCACAGTATTGTGGTTCTTACTTGAGTAAATGCTCAGAATCATTATCTCACTTCAGATCAATGAGGACTTTTTCAGTAGCAAGTGACAGAATACCGAACTCAAAAGCATTTTACACAAAGAGAGAAGTTTTGGTCCGTGTTATTGAAAAGTCCTGGTTTCAGGCGCAGCAAGGTCCAGGGGTTCAAATAAGGGTAAGTTAGGTTGGTTTCTGGACGACTCTCGACACTCTGCTGGCTTCACTCTCAGGATTCTTGTGGTGGCAAAACAGTTCCTGCGACTTTGAGCTTTTTATCGGATCTGCTTCATGCCCAGAGCAAGAGAGCGCTCCCTCAGGCAGAGAACTTTGCCATCAGCCTCAGGAAAAAAGAAACCATTTTCTTTTCATCATCTCAGGTTTTGTCGCGAGCATATCCTTGGGCCAGTGATGATGGCAAGAGGAACGTGACACCTGCCTGGCTTCCGTCTCAATCCTATAACCTGACCACGTATCTTGAGAGCTACAGAAGTAGAGGAAATGGACTATGAAGAGAGAAAGAGCAGTGCTTCATAACACATGCTTTCTAAGTTCATGGACTTGCTTGGAAGAAAAGGGGCTCAACCTATGAAATGAGATTACTTTCAGAGGCCAAAGAGTTTACGAATTCCTGGCAGAATTTAATTCTTTCTTTAATGACCAAATTTATCATTATTAAATTATTGATAGAGAAGTCTCTAATCCATTTTCTAAATGGGAAAATTAATGCCACGGGAGGGTGACTTGACTAATGGTCACTCTTCCCATGCGGTAACAAAATCTTATATCTCCTACTGGTTTGAAGATACATATTTGGCGGGGTTTTTTTTTATATTAGCATCTCTGAAATTGAACTGCATGAGAGTTATTAAGCAACCCCACCCCACCCCCGCCCCCCCCAAATACACTGGTTCTCTTTGCTCTAGGGATGAGGTAGCATGCACTTCTCCTGTTGCAAAGCCCTTTGAAGTTAGACATGCCCACATAACTCGCTTTGGCCAACAGTGGGGTCTCCAAGTAGAAGCCTTGATGAGCCAGCACAGCTTGCCATTTACCCCTGAACCTGCCAAAGGACAGAGGGAGCACATGACAAGATGGAGCCTCCACTAGCTGGGACTCATGTCATGGGCTCAATAGTGTCTCCCCCAAAATCATATATTGAAGTACTAACCTCCAGTACCTCAGCATGGGACTGCATTTGGAAACAGTCTTTAAAGGGGCTATTATATTTAAATGAGGTCATTAAGTGGGCCCTCATCCAAAATGACTGATGTCTTTATAAAAGGAGATTAAGGCACAGACAGACACAGAAAGAAAGATGGTATGAAGACGCAGGGAAAAGGTGGTGTCTACAAACCCAGGAGAGAGGCCTCAGAAGACACCAGCTCTGCCTTGATCTTGAAGCTGAGACTCCAGAACTCGTGAGGAAATAAATTTCTGTTGTTGAAGTCACCTGGTCTGTGGTGGTTTCTTATGACAGCCAGACCCCTGCTAGCCAAAGTGAGCAGAGCCCTCCTAGCTCCTGCATTTGACGTGTGATGTGAGGAAATAAGCTTTGATTGTGAAAGCCACTTGAACTCTACAGTTCTTAAACAGCACAACCTTCTCTGAACCGAAAAGGATGCATGCAAGTAACAAGCAGCCAGGGTACAGTTTAACAGGCAGCCCTTTTTCTTTCTTAGAAACAATACAATAATCACCTTGCAACTGATATCATTTTCTATTAATTGAAACCCAATATATTCATCACTGGATAGTTGATAAAATATGTATATCTCCATCACTCTTTTGCATTTCCACAGTTACCCAGTTGTAGAAGAAATGATAATAGTGATAGCAATAATTATAATAGTTAACGTATTCAAGCACTTACCTTGATCACAAGGTACATCAAGCTACAATGCTGAGCACTTTCCATACTATTTGTAATCCGCTCCAAAAACCTATGTATGAGGTATTTTGTCATCCCCATTTAGAGACTAGAAAACTTAAAGAGATAAAATGAACACCCTATCCTCCCCACCACCCCTCATCCCAGTAAATTAGAACCAAGGTTGGACTTCCCTGGCAGTCCAGTGGTTAGAACTCTGAGCTCCCAGGGCAGTGGGCACAGGTTTGACCCTGGTCTGCTCAGGGCACTAAGAGCCTGCACGCTGTGTGGCCAGAACAAACGACTCAAGTCAAGGTCACCCAGGGACTCGGCTTCATTCCAGAAGGCTGCCCATTGATAAAATTTCTTTTTATTAAGAAAACATCACTTATCTTTTTTTTTTTTTTTACAATACGTAGTGCAATTGATAGTAATATAACTTTTATTTTTCAGTTTAGTAATTTCAGCTTTCCAGTGGAATCTAGGAAGCTTTCCTCCTTTGTCTGACTTTATACAACTTCAAGTATCTAGATATATGGAGTTAAATGCCACATATAAATAAGGTGGAATTTTTTCCACATGATATCCATAGCTCACGATATGCCATTTTTAAAATTCTGCCTGGAAAAACAACCGTTCTCTACAAACCGTGGGGATGATTTATTCGATTGTTGTTATTCATGGCTAGGAAAAACTTAGAATGCTCAAAATAAGCAAAAACATTTCAGCAGCTGCTGCAGATGTTCTACTCCCCAACACAAAGTTGGCCTCGAACAGCAGTGATCACGCAGAAATGCCAGCCTCACACTGAAGCCATTAGGACTTTAAAAGGAGCGTGTGCTAATGGGGATGTCCTCGTGAAAACTCTGATTACTGGGAGAGTGCCCAAGCTAATCTTTGACCCTGAAGTTAGCCCCAATCTTGATCTCCAGGGCCCCTTGAAGGCAAGATCACCCTTTCTCATGTAACTGGAGCTGCGTGGAGCAGGGAAGGATGAGGTGTTAAGAGAGTCCTAATGAGCCATGTTACAGATGTGTAAAACAGCTGGGGGGATGATGTCACTAGGCTCACCCTGCCGCCTCTGCTACTTGCTGCTGTTATTAGAAACAGACGCTGGAGGAGGGCACCCAGAATATGCACCCGTCCCTTGGCGACCACTCTCTGGTCCTAATTAGGTAGGCTGGGCCCCAGCTGCTGAGCATAAACCTCACCAGGTGACTCCAAACTGCCTAGCTTTATAATCCAGATGAGTTCTGCTCCAGCTTGTGCTAGAAAAGAGGTCATCTTCAGATTTATTGTACTTGTTACATGGTAAGCCTGACCCCTGGATGGGTGGAGAGAGAAATGAAATTCTCAGAGAAAGGATCTGAAAACAGTACAATTCATCACAAACTCAGAAAGTGTTCAATTAAGAGCGTGATTCTTAGAACATCGAACGTCTGGTGATGTCAGATTCTGTCATGGCTGTAAGCTTAAGATTTGTTTTCCAAAACAAACAGGAGGAATCATCCTGTCTTGTTGCTAACTCCAAACATACATTTTTCCGCTCATTAAGGCAGAATAGGAACCATTTAAATGCTCACTATGGGCCAAGGGGTTACATGGAGTGGCTCTTTTAGCAACTTTAGGAGAGATCGCTGTGGAAAAAGTTGGGCTCAGATAGATGAAGTTGCTTATCCAAAGTCACACAGCCAGAAAGTGGTGTGGAATTTGAATCCAGGCCAGCCATTCTGGAGACCACGTTTCTGGCTTCCACAACCACATTCATCACTCCCACGTTTATCCTAGGAGTGTTTCCTTGTTACACATTATCATACAACTGTTTTTCCTTTCCTCTTCCAATAATGCTAGAGTGCCTTGTGTTGTAATACCCCTCCTGTAAAGAACAATATACCCTGGACAAAACAACTACTTGAAGGCAATGGAGAGTTATCAAAAGCAGACAGAAATAAGAGGGAAGTTGACTAGGTTCTTCTCCTGAGAATATATGTCAATTTACTTAGCCCAGAGTGGCTGGAACTAAAGCAAAAAGCTTCAATTATACTGAATTGAAGAGTTAGAGGGTGGAATTTGAAGCTGCAAGAGGGTAGGAAGCAAGAAAGAAATACTGGAAAGGAGGGAGCCACAAAACATGAAACTTCAAAACTCTGCATGAAAGCTACCTCAAATTCTTATTGATTCCTGAACTGTGTGTGGCACAGGGTGGCAGGGGGTGGGGGCATTCTTCTGAGGGAACTGTTAGTCACTCAGTCATGCCAACTGTTTGTGCCCCAGGGACTGTAGCCCGCCAGGTTCCTCTGTTCACGGAATTCTCCAGGCTAGAATACTGGAGTAGGTAGCCATTCCCTTCTTCAGGGGATCTTCCTGAACCTGGGATTGAACCCAGGTCTCCTGCACTGCAGACAGATTCTTTACCATCTGAGCTACCAGGAAGGCACTGGGGAAGTTCCAAAATTCTCAGCAAAAAGCAACAGCTAGGAAGTTGAAGAAACTGAGCAGTTTCAGTTGTTATTTATAGCAGAGGAGACTGAATTTTGATTTTAAACTGAACCAAATCATCTGCT